ATTAGTGGAAGATAAAAAGTGAACGGACTTGAACTGTTGAGAACTATTTCACCCAGTGTCTCACCATTACTTACTTACTTATGCCTGTTACTCCCAATGGAGCATAAGCCACCGACCAGCTTTCTCCAACCCACTCTGTCCTGGGCCTTCTTTTCTAATTCTATCCAGTTCTTGTTCATTCTTCTCATGTCTGTCCCTATTTCTCGGCGTAATGTGTTCTTTGGTCTTCCTTTTCTCCTTTGACCTTCAGGATTCCATGTGAGGGTTTGTCTTGTGACGCGATTAGGTGATTTCTTCAAGGTGTGCCCAATCCACTTCCAGCGCTTCTTCCTGATTTCTTCCTCTGCTAGAATCTGGTTTGATGTCTCCCACAGTAACTTGTTGCTGATAGTGTTTGGCCATCTGATCCGAAGTATCTTGCGTAGACAGCTGTTAATAAACACTTGTATCTTCTGGGTAATGGCTTTCGTAGTTCTCCACGTCTCCGCCCCATACAGTAGAACTGTTTTCACATTTGTATTGAAAATTCTAACCTTGTTGTTGGTTGACAATTGTTTTGAGCTCCAGATGCTTTTCAGTTGTAGGTATGCTGCTCTTGCTTTGCCGATCCGCGCCCTCACATCTGCATCTGATCCACCGTGTTTAAAAATGATGCTGCCCAGATATGTAAAGGTTTCCACATGTTCCAAAGCTTCTCCGTCAAATGTAATTTGATTGGTGCATATTGTATTGTATCGGAGAGTCTTGCTTTTCTCTTTGTTTATATTGACATCTACTGCTGCTGAGGCTGCTGCTACACTTGTCGTTTTCTCCTGCATTTGTTGTTGTGTTTGTGATAGAAGAGCCAAATCATCCGCGAAGTCTAAATCGTCAAGCTGCATCCTGCCTGTACACTGTATCCCGTGCTTTCCTCCATATGTTCACGTCTTCATGATCCAGTCCATCACCAAAAGAAAGAGAAAGGGTGAGAGTAAGCAACCTTGCATTACACCGGTTTTTACTTCAAACGAGTCGGTGAGTTGTCCTCCGTGGACGATTTGGCAGTTTAGTCCATCATAGGAGTTCCGTATGATATTGACTATCTTCTCAGGCACGCCGTAGTGTCGAAGAAGCCTCCATAGTGTCGTCCTGTTCACGCTATCAAATGCCTACTCGTAGTCGATGAAGTTGATGTAGAGTGATGAATTCCATTCGATTGATTGTTCCACAATGATCCGCAGAGTTGCGATTTGATCTGTGCACGATCTATCCTTACGAAATCCAGCTTGTTGATCTCGAAGTTGGGCGTCCACGGAATCCTTCATCCTGTTTAACAATACCCTGTTGAAGACTTTCCCTGGTATTGAGAGGAGAGTGATGCCCCTGTAGTTGTCGCACTTGCTAAGATCTCCTTTCTTTGGTATTTTGATCAGAAGTCCTTTTTTCCAGTCTGTTGGAACTTGTTCTTCGTCCCAAATATTACTGAAGAGGATGTGTAGTATCTTGGCAGTTGCTGCTACATTTGCTTTCAGTGCCTCTGCCGGGATGTTGTCTGGTCCCGCTGCTTTGCCACTCTTGATTTGTCTAATGGCCATGCTGATCTCTTCAATTGTTGGTGGGCCAACATCGATTGGGAGGTCTGTGGGTGCTGCTTCGATGTTGGGTGGGTTCAGTGGAGCTTGTTGATTCAAGAGTTCTTTGAAGTGTTCTACCCACCTGTTTCGTTGTTCTTCAATGTCAGTGATTACTTTGCCTTCCTTGATTTTCACTGGTCTTTCTGGCTTACGGTAATTTCCAGCAAGTTTCTTTGTTGTATCATACAGTTGTCTCATGTTTCCCTCTCTTGCAGCCTTTTCTGCTGTCATCGCTAAATCTTCCACGTATTTACGTTTGTCGGTTCTGATGCTCCTCTTCACTTGCTTGTTTGCCTCTGTGTATTCGGCTTGTGCTTTGGCTTTTTCCGCTCTGGTTCGGCTGATATTGATTGCTGCCTTCTTGTTCCTCCTTTCTTCAATTTTATCCAGTGTACCAACAGTGATCCATTCCTTGTGATGATGCTTTTTTTGGCCCAGAACCTCTTGATATGTTGAAACGATTGCCTTCTTGATACCTTTCCAGTTGCTCACCATGGTAGTCCCCTCTCCATTGAGTAGATCATGAAAGGCCTCGAACCTGTCGCTGAGGGTTATGTTGAATTTGTTGAGTTTGTTAGCATCTCGAAGAAAGGCTGTATTAAACTTTCGTGATGCTGTCCGAGCCGTTGTCCAGTGCTTCTTGAGTTTTAGTTTCATCTTGGCGACCAGCAAATGATGATCGGATGCTATATCAGCTCCTCTTCTGGTTCTCACATCCTCCATCGTCCTCCTGTACTTTTTGTTGATGCAGATATGGTAGATTTAATTCTGTGTAGTGTGATCTGGTGAAATCCAAGTGGCTTTGTGTATGTTTTTGTGTGGGAATATGGTGCCACCTATGACCAGTTTATTGAAGGCACATAGGTTTGCAAATCTCTCACCATTTTCGTTCCTTTCTCCCAGTCCATGTTGTCCCATGACGTCTTCGTATCCAGTGTTGTCCTTTCCAACCTTGGAATTAAAATCTCCCATCAGAATGGTCAGGTCTTTGGTTGGGCACTTCTCGAAGATCGACTGCAACCTGTCGTAGAATTGGTCTTTAGCGTCTTCATCGTAGTCGTTGGTAGGCGCATAGCATTGAATAACGTTCATTGTAATGCCCTCTTTCTTTGTTTTGAAGGAGGCTTTGATGATCCTTGGTCCATGAGATTCCCATCCAATAAGTGCATTTTGTGCTTTTCTGGACAGCATCAATGCAACTCCTTGTGTATGTGGGGCGTTTTCTTCTTCATGACCGGAGTATAACAGAAGTTCTCCTGAAGACAGTCGTTGCTGTCCAACATGCGTCTAATGTGTTTCGCTGATTCCAAGCACCTCCAGGTTGTATCTTCTCATTTATGCAGCAATTTCGAAGATTCTTACGGTCTCCCACATTGTTCGGACACTCCATGTACCTATAAAAATTGTCGCTCTGCTTGTAAGAAGGTGCATCGGCCTCATGACTTCCGAAGGAACTCGGCTTTCATCATGAGACGTCATAATTATTCCTTCTACTCCTAGGGCAGAGTTTGAATGGTTTGAATGATTTTTTCTGGTTAGCGTTTTTTTAGCGAGTTGAATTTCTACGGGATGGGGTGGCCAATCCCATGCCCAACCCTCCTCCTTTACTCGGGCTTTGGACCGGCAGTAACCCCCAGAGGACCTACAGGCGGAGTATCTCACCATAGGTTACGATAATCGCGTGAACCCTAACCAGGCTCAGTTCAACACAAATAATAGTAAAATATCATACAGTTTATTAGTGTGAATAATCAATTAGTGAGTTCAAGGTAATTTGATTGTGGGGAGAGTCAGCTCTCCCTCTCAAAATGCTCTCACATGGCCACGTGCATACAACTACTACCAGGGGAGTCCTACTCACTGCTTCCTCGCAACAGCAGGAGTGTTATTTACGAAATTGAGAGGACGAAAAGCGAATGTCTGGCGATTTAACCGGGTCGGTGGACACGGCGAGTCTACTTAGGGGAGTTGGAAAACCCTGATTCCAAACCAATGGTGCACATGGGCTCCAGTATCCTGAGGGAAAAAATGGCGTATGAATCAATCGTTGGTCACCGACTACCATGGGATTGCATGTTCTCACGATGCTCCACTGCCTTGTGGACTAGACCTTAAGGTCAAAGGCTCCAGGTATGGCCCCCAAAGAAACCACACGCCTCGGTTTGGGTACCCGGGCAGTATTCCAGCCCTCACACAAATCGAACGATTTATGTAGCGCATATCTATTCGGTGCCTTCTTGTACCAATATTTATGTATTTAAATAAATAAGTAAATTTTATTTTATTTATTTATTTATTTAAACACATACATATTGGTACAAAGGGGCACCATATACATATGCGCCACACAAATAAGTAAATAAATTCAGAAACATGACTATGAACTATTTTTACAGCCAAACTTTGACCAGCGCTTTCTCGTACTTTTAGTACTTTATCTCCACATTTGATCAGCTAGTCTTAACTATACTTCTATGCATAATATTAAGCGTTGAATTCTCTTTACTTGTGTCAGCTTTTTGTCCACTCAAAAGATCAATCAATATATTTTTAAAGACTTAAAATGATCACAACAGATATATTTATCAATTTAGACTTTACTACAAGCACACTGTTCCTAGTTGTGAGTAGTACAAGTATGTTTGCATGATCTTCCCAAAATCATTATGTTGCGAGGTGAGTTGAACAGGTGAACTAAAAAATAAGCTAGAAGCGAAAAACCAATCAGAAATTTCGAAGTATTTCTACTCAAAAGAATTCGCCAATCAAAATGTTGATGTTAGTATACCAGTAATGACGGATACAACGTTACAAGGCCATATTCATTTACATAAACTAGGTAGATATGTCTAAATTAAAGTCGACAAAACATACGTAATGCTTAGCCTAAAAGCATAAGCCAACTTTCCAAACTATATAAAACCGATTTATTGTTTTGATCTATGTAAATCTTTATACAATCCAATCCTGTGTCAAGTTAGAGTGAGAACTCATGCAAGCATTACGTAGTTACTCTCATATTTCCCCAATTTCATATTTACCATCATTCAATGCATTGGTAGGCTATCGATTGAATGTGTCGACTTTCAACCAGTAGGTTTTATTTGTGCAGTGCTTCGACTACGATCGAGTAAACATGTAGTATCATTATTCTGTACCCGATTTCACCGTAATTTATGTAGAATTAAAGTTATAAAGGGTTGATGAATCGCGGGCTTTTTCGATTATATAGTATAACTAGCTTTCACAACACCATGAAACAGATAAGTCAGGCTGATTCACTCTATTCAAAGTCAACTACACAAATAGACGTTGTATTTTAAGCTTAGAAAGAAGTCAAATAAAAATTCTTTAAGAATAAACTAAGACCACTAAATGATGACTTACAGCGTTTCACTCGTCTAGCTATGTTGTTGCTACGATAATATGAATTAAATATTTGAACATTGGTGGATGATGTTGAATTAATAGAATTATTGGAAGAATGAAATTTTGAAATCTTCCCACTTGGTAAAATTTGATTCCATCCTTGAACATTTGAAAATGTTTCAGTATCGTTTTCTAAAATCGTAACATTTAAGAGGAAAATAGTGGAGTTGTATGTGGCACCGGATAGATGGCATATAGTGGTAGAATAATTTGGATTATTTTCGTTTTGTCTTAATTCTTGATTTATCGACTCGATGAGAATAGTACAACCTGATGGATATATTTCTGAAGATGAAATGTTTACATAACCTCTGTAGAGAGAGAAAAACAAACAATCAGTACACATCAAACTAAAATGTGATCGAGTTCTTTTTATACAAAATTCCTCTTAAATAATCCTCAGGCCACAAAAAAGGATAAAATTGGTACTACTTATGATGAACACCACCAAAAGACAAAAGACTTGGGACAGATGTAGGCACGATTTAAAATGATGAGTTACTGAATAGTTATCTCTTGAATAAATTTGAAAATATACTATGCATCGATGTACTGCTGTTGCTTATTCATGGTATACAAATTAATTACAGAATAGAAGCTAAATAATATTTCACTTCGGTTTAACCTAACTATAGTTAGAAGTCAGTCAGTCAGCTACAACGTAGGACCAGGCACACATATGCATCGGTCAAAGTTGCCGAATTTCATCAACACAACAACAAGAACATAAAATTCATAGAACTTAGATTTAATCAGTTCTAATGCCTACTAAATACTAGCCAACACTAAATGTATCTATTTTGTCCAAAAAATACTTCTTGAAAAGAAAAGTGATTTTACGTTAAGAAAGTGTACAGTGGGACATTGGCTATGAGACAAAGAAGGCAATCAAATATCCATATTTTAAAAGCTATCTCAGTAGTAGAAGTAGGAGATACATATACTCAGGATTCCATAAAGAAACCTATGGTATATTTCATCTGAAGATTATTCTCTTTGTTATGGGAATCTGGAACAGAATATACAAATCAGTCGGTTTATCTCTCCTAGATGCTTGACGCTATTCAATATCGATTTGTTCAGTAATTTGGAACATTTTAGATAAGTCGTAGTCACGTGTTAAACCTTACGAATGAGAAAGCACAAATGCATAAAGCCTGTATTTTCCAGAAACATGTAAGACACGAACTAACCAAGAACTGTCATTTGAGCTTCTCATGAAGAGAACCTTCGCAATAATGTGAGATTTTAAATTAATTGATTAAACTCTTCTTAACTAGTGAACACTTCGAAATAAGTTGTTGAGGGTTAACTCTACAGTGTTAATTACCAACACTAGAAATGGATTAGTGATGCTTACACAGATCATCTAAAAGTGATAAAAAGACTTACTTTAATTTATTTTTTGAAAGAAAGAACAACCCATAGACATCATTCTTGGAAGCTTCGCTGATAAACTTGAGGTTATCTACTTGTAGACTATATCCCGTAACACAAAAGAGGTTTTCATAAAACTAAAACGAGATAACATTGGAGGTAGGAGTATTAAATATCCAGAAATTTTGCCTTTTAAAACTTTGTAAGTAAACGTGCAGCTATCTAGGTTGGACTTTCTGACGAAACACTGAGTACAAAACTACAAACGTGTAAAAGTTCACTAGTTTATGTGACGCTTTTTCTAGGGAGAAATAAAAAGCAAGAAGAACGGGGATACAATAGTAAATGTGACGCTTTGGACCTCCACGATTCAACGTTACTACTCTAGCAATGGATGCACTTACTCCATAGTGCGATCCGATAATTGAATGTATTCTAGATCATAGTACGGATGGACAACGGTTAAGACTGAAGTCTCGGATGTGATTTTCGCCCAACTTGGGACTCCTCAGGATAATGCATATGCATCACATTACCGATGTTTACACTGAAACCCAAACAGTGCTTTTCACTTCAAACGCTTCGCTGCTAACCACAGTCACACTCTATTAAAAACTTTCGGATATGTGGCAATACTGGGGTAATCAGTACAGGCTTACATACGAGAAAAGAAACTGACAAGTTGCAGTGCCTGATATGTCGATGTACATAGATGCAATTGAAAATTGTGATTTGAAATCTTTCAATTTCCTTTCACTTATTTGTTGCTAATACTTGGTTTTTCGATACAAGCATTGCGGAGCTTGGTAGAAATATGAATAAAATTAGTTTGGACGCGACATTCGAGTTAAAGTTTCTGAATGAGATCGGACAACTTTCGGTAGCTCATTTTATTCCACTAACTTGGGGTCAAGGAAAACGTTAGTAACGGCTTTTATTTTATTACTTCTAAATTTTTATGTTGTCGTTCAATCAGATAGCAGAGAGCTGACTGCCAATTATGATTCATTACCAGAAGTTGCTTCTGCTGTTATAATCACAGATGTCCTTGAACGTGAGTGACAATGACCAGTTTATACCTAGTAACCCGGTACTTAAAGGATGGAGTATTTGTCTTCACAGCTGTGGTTATCCAAGGTCAATCGAATAACCACATCTGGGTCCTAAGCACAGATTTCTGAAAATATACCAAGTCTCCATGAGATGGAATTCTTGAGTTTCGTTGGAGACATATTTTGAGAGTCAAGAGCACCAACATGTAGTTCGAGTTTTAGGAGTGCACGTAAACTGTTTAGTAAGGGTGAATTTCTAGCACCAATAGCAGATAAACGTTATACAAACTGACCTAAGATTTAGAGATCAATTCGAGATGAATAAGCTTGTTTTTCTCCATAGAAAACATGTATACACAATCAATAAGTATTTAGAACAAACAAGGCATCTGAATGTTTTATATAGGTGTTCAACAGTTTGGAACAGGAACAAATCAAATTCAACTTCCAACCACATCACAGCGGTATTTATTTCTCGATACTACAATCATGTATTTTATATATATATATATATATATATATATATATATATATAATATCAGTGCCAATATCCGAAACATGATTTCAGCACTAACATACATCCGGAGTTAATTTTCTCCCGAAAATGTTGATTGTAACCACTAACCGACAAAATTATCAAGCGTCATTTTTGAGAACTCCTGGCCAGAGAAAGAGGAGGAGAATGGCTGAGTTTAAGAGTGACGAATACATGTATAAACCGCATACTATTATTGATGTAACGATTATTACAGTAATCAGACGTATGCACAACAAACACTATGTAGCAAAAGAGGAGAATTACCTGACCAAATTTATTACCGGTGAACCGATCAAAACCATGAATATAGAGTGGTTGCGAACATTTTTCAAGGGATGTAGTCAAATTACTCGAGAATAATTCACATGAGATGATATTTCTTGAGCCGACCTAATAGAAACATAATTCACCGAAATTTAAAGATTAACTTCATTATATTCAGATAAATTTGGGCTATCGAAGGTCATCAAATCTATTTGGTCACCCACATTTATTAAAAGCGCTGTGATTGCCAAATAAGGTTGGTCGAAATTAACGATTACCTATATTACCTAAAAACAAACAGATATGGAATATATGCATCTCAACATCTTCTGCTGCCCTCCGTAGAATTAGGAGTTCGAAGTCTTGAAATTTTATAAATTCACACCCATGTTAAAACAGTATCAAGGTGACGACCTTGGGAAACAACTTTCACCTTCAAAGGCAAAACCAGTCTTCAGTAATAAGGATAAAAAGTCTATTGACCTATAATAATCCTTGCAGTTTGTCACACTGTGAAGGTTGGGTGCGAGAAACGAAACTCCAGACGTAGAAAATTTGATCTCGGTTTTGAACTTTCTTCGAATGTCCTCTCAAATTATCAGTCCTAGATGGAAGGAAAAGATAGGGCATGTTAGTATGAAGATTGTAGCTGTAAATAATTCCCAAAAATCAATAGTTCATTAAGTGTTCGACATTGGATGCTGACCACGTGTTTAAGTGAACTTGTTTAGCTGAAGGCTTTCGGTCATGCATCCGCACCAGATCACGTTTCGACTCGGCGTGGGACACAGCTCTTACGTTTCATTAGCCAGCTCATAGAAAAGGTCCTCGATATATTGGTAACGCATCAAATATATCTTTCCTCCCTCCCCTCGTCTGACTTCTGGTTTCTATCTGACTGGGAACAATCGAATTTAGAAGGTGCTACTGGTATCTAGTTGTAAAACTAGAATATCCGTTGCATCATCATTGGTGAACCCGACGTGATCTGGTACACCAAGTCAATATACTGTGAGTCCGTTCCATTTTGGAATATTATTATTCATTGTTATTCTTTGTTTGAATTTTATATATTGTGATATACTTTTTTCACGAATTTTTTTTTCTCGGATATATTTTAATTAGACATTTTCGTTAGCTATATTAATATGACGGAACACTCACCCAAGGTTTTTAAGTTAAAGTCTATTCCCCCTATTTCGATTCAGTTAACGCCATTTTGGCCCGACAATATCGAGTCCTGGTTCTGCTATGCAGAAGCCGATTTTTGCATGCACGGAATCATGGACTCGCGCACACGTTTCCTCGCGGTAGTTAAGGCGTTACCGCGCGAGTTTAACAGGTACGTAACACCTACTATGTTTACTAGTGATGTTTCTGAACCTTATGAATCGCTCAAGCTATCGATTTTAAAACGAGGAGACCTAACTGATCGACAACGGTTAGACCAACTCCTTAACAATATCGACTTGCAACATGGTTCTGCGACGGACATGTTGCTTAGAATGAGAGAAGTCATCGGCCAACGAACTTTCGATGATGGCCTATTTAGACAACTTTTCTTGTCTAAACTCCCTCAACAGGTGCAGGCAGTGCTTGTTTCATTTCAAAAAAATGCCATAGATGAACTAGCTGCATCTGCCGATCGAATCTTGGAAACCACCAAATTTTCTAAGGCCGAGGTTTTTTCCATCAAAGAAAAACCACAATCGACCTCGACTGACATGGCCGAACTATGTCACACGCTTACACAATATCTTAGGGTTCGCAATGACCGTAGTCGGTCAAAAACCCCTCGTAGAAGTGCCTCACGTAAGCGATCTGGCTCTCGACCACGAGAGACAGACAATCCCGACTGGTGCTGGTATCATAACCAGTACGGTAAGTTTTCCAGAAACTGCAGGAAACCTTGCAATTATCCGACCCCAAAATCGAGTGACACGAAAAACAGTTCGGGAAACTTCCCAGCCGGCACGCGTTAACAGCTACCGTAGCCAGCGAACACAGCAGCCTCTTATATGTCACGGATGTGACTACGAAAGTTCGCTACCTCGTCGACACTGGCGCAGAAGTTAGCGTTCTTCCAGCAAATCCCAACGACAGACTTCGCGAGTCTGTTTTCAGTTCACAGGCGGCAAACGGAAAGCCGATCGCTACTTACGGTAAAAAGTACGTCTACCTTAACGTGGGTTTACGTAAACCCATACACTGGATTTTCGTTGTTGCAGATGTCTCTATGCCAATCATTGGTATAGACCTGTTACAACACCACAATCTACTCATCGACACACGCGCACGAAGGTTAACAGACAGAAACACTAAGTTGTCCGTTTGCGTAACTCCTTGTTCTGGTTGCAGGTTATCCCCAGTCACGATTAAGCACACCATATAACCCTTGTACCAATCATTACTCGACAAATACTCCGGGATATACCAATCGCAATCGAAATTACCTTGTGTAACCAGCAATGTTACACATCACATCACAGGCGCCTTGTCTCGAATTAGCTCCTTGAACAGTTTCCAAGGAATCGACCTTCTTAAACTCGCTCAGCTTCAAAAAGAAGACATTGATCTTCAGCATGATTTATCCTCGACAACTCTTAAACTAAGTATTAGGCAGATGGGAACAGGTAAGGAAACCTTACTCTGTGACACATCTACAGGTAGGGATCGTCCAATAGTACCAAAACATTATCGACGCAACGTCTTCAATACGTTGCACAATCTTTCTCATCCAGGTGCTCGTGCAACAATCGAACTTATAGCCGAACGCTTTTGTTGGCCTGGTATGAATAAAGACGTGAGGGAGTGGGCACGCTTCTGTGTAAGCTGTCAGAAATCTAAGGTGATCAGACACAACAAATGTCCCTTAGGCTCTTTCAAAACCCCTGACGCTCGTTTCGACCACGTCCATCTAGATTTGGTAGGACCCTTACCCGACTCGAACGGATACTCATATCTCCTAACATGCGTAGACCGTTTTACTCGATGGCCAGAAACAGTACCGATTAAGGACATTACTGCTGAAAACGTGGCACGCGCTTTTGTCGAACGATGGGTAGCAAATTTCGGCTGCCCTTCAACCATCACTACAGACCGCGGACGCCAGTTCGAATCTGGACTTTTCCGTTGTCTGACCTCACTATTAAGAATCACGCGCTTCCGAACGACCGCCTACCACCCACAAGCAAACGGGTTGGTAGAACGTTTTCATCGAAAATTAAAAGCTTCATTATCAGCTTCAAACGTTTCACAGTGGACAGACGCTCTTCCACTCGTCTTGCTAGGTATCCGCGATGCAGTGAAAGCTGACATTGGATACAATGCATCTCAACTCGTTTACGGAACGACACTCCGACTCCCAGGAGAATTCGTGGATCCTTCAGCTTCTTCATTGAACATGGATCTAAACTCTTACACGAGTAGGCTTACAAACGCTATGCGTTCAGTTAAACCTGCTCACACTCGACCTCAATCAACTGATGTTTTCGTTCAACCCGAATTACGACATAGTACACACGTCTTCGTTCGTCGAGACTCACATCGACGACCCCCCGAATCAGCATACGAAGGACCCTTCAAAGTTCTTCAACGCGAACCTAAGTACTATGTAGTTGATAAGAACGGTACGAAAGATAGCATCAGTATCGATCGACTCAAAGCTGCGTACCTAGAAGGAAACCCTAGCTACGTCGATTTTCCTTCGGTACAAGCAAACGACACAGCTACTACACTCGTAGTACCCTACACGACAACCGACACACAACTTGATACTTCGTCAACGTCGATAGAAAAACCTAAAACAACGCGTTCTGGAAGACGAGTAAGATTTCCAGAACATCTTAACGAATATTGCGCGTAGGACATAAGCTTTATCTTGAATTACCCTTTCAAAGTTTATTATAAATTTTTTTTAATATGCTCATTTTTTTATTTATGTAAAAAAAACAAAAAAAAACATTTTTTTGAGCGTATATATATATATATATTTCTATATTGAAAAAAAACACAAAAGAAAACCTTTTCTCCGATCGCTTTTACGCTGTTTGTAAGTGTATCAGTTTATTTTTTCCGCTCATCTTGTGTCCTTACGCAAGTACGAGTTTATTTTTTGACATGCACTCACACGTTTTATTTTTCCTCTTTTCCAGGACGGCTGGAAAAGAACGACGAAGTTTCGCAAGGAACAGAAATTTTCATTGTACTATATTTCTTTATTGCTACGTTGTACGTTTTGGTCCCATAGTTTAAGGAAAGACGACCAGACGCTGCTAAACGAAGCAAGCTATCAGAAGAGTGCTTACCAACGACAAACTCGTTGGGTTTAAACTTCTGGCTGGTCACGTCTTAGGGGCATCACTACCTCACAAGGGGGGAGTGATCTGTAGCTGTAAATAATTCCCAAAAATCAATAGTTCATTAAGTGTTCGACATTGGATGCTGACCACGTGTTTAAGTGAACTTGTTTAGCTGAAGGCTTTCGGTCATGCATCCGCACCAGATCACGTTTCGACTCGGCGTGGGACACAGCTCCTACGTTTCATTAGCCAGTTCATAGAAAAGGTCCTCGATATATTGGTAACGAATCAAATATATCTTTCCTGCCTCTTCTCGTCTGACTTCTGATTTCTATCTGACTGGGAACAATCGAATTTAGAAGGTGCTACTGGTATCTAGTTGTAAAACTAGAATATCCGTTGCATCATCAAGATCATCCTTCAGGATACGATATGCCAATATTAGATCACCCTGTATTCTCCGGTAAGATAACTGAAATAAGATGGGGTTCCTCAGTCTGTCTTCATGAGACAGGTCGGATAGACCTTTTTCCACATTAGTCTCTTGGCGTTGGACTCGTTCCAGCATAACCACCTCATATTTGAAACAAGGACTCGCTGCTTGAATCCCATATCCCGAATGTGGTCGTACTAAAGTTGGATATAATAATCTGAACATTTCCTCATCCAAATACTGGAAAAATCTACGAATAGACCATAATACTCTATAGATTTTTGCAGCAGCAGCCTCACAGTGACTGGTAGTTTCGAGATCATTGCTCACCATTACGCCTAAATCTTTATAGTTTCTTACTTTAGGCAATGCGAATCCACATATTGTGTAGTAATACGAATCCTCATAGTTATTTAATTGCATCACCACACTCTTGTTCTGATTCACTTTAAGTGACCAGCCGTTCATCCATGCCACCAATGAGTTGAAATCATTTTGTAGCACTATTTTATCTGATATGCTGTATATGGGTCTCCAAACCTTTATGTCATCGGCGAAGAGTAGATAGGGTGATTTAGCTACGTTGGTAATTCATTCACATAAAGCAAAAAGAGAATTGGGTCGAGGATTATGCCTGGAGGAATTTCACTTTTTACAGGTTGCCACGATGAGAGAACTCCGTTTACTCTTACCTTTCGTCTCTTGTTATTAAGAAACTCACTTACCCAGTCTATGACTGCATAATGAATTTCAAAACTTTCCAGTTTTAATTTAAGACCAGAATGGGAAACCTTATCAAAGGTTCTGCTCA